TATTCACTGCTGGAAATCTGTATTCCACGTAATTTCTGACCTAACTCATAGGAAATTGTCTTTCTTACCCCCAAGGCCATGCTCATCAACTCTTTGTTTTTATTTTTAATTTTATTCTGATTTATTTACAAAGTGTGAATACATTGTTTTCCACAAAAGATTCTTCCCATCTCATCCACCCATGGCATAGCTTTATTTTATTGTTGTTCAATATTTAGATTATTTTTTTTCAATTATAACAATTCAGCAACAGAAGTTTGTGAACAAGTCTCCTTTTGCGTATATGGAGAATTTCTTTAATGGGTGTATATCTTTAGGAGTGGGATTTCTGGGTTATGTAATATATGTTTTCAGTATTAGGCATTGCCAAACTCTTTTTCAGTGTCGTTTCACTATTATCACCTGTAACATACTGTAGGGAAGTTCTTGTCACTTATGTCCTTGATAATGCTAGATGTTGTCAGATTATTTAAAATTATTCCATTCTAGTACCAAATTTGGCTTCGAGTTTTACTGCTTTAGATACCTGTAACATACTGTAGGGGAGTTCTTGTCACTTATATCCTTGATAATGCTAGATGTTGTCAGATTATTTAAAATTATTCCATTCTAGTACCAAATTTGGCTTCAAGTTTTACTGCTTTAGATACTAAGGCAGTTTAAGAATCTTTTCATGGAAAGCACCTTTTCATGACTAATCAAGCTTCTCTGGTAATTTTACCCCTTATTCCATTCCAGTATATTTTTTTATAAAAATGATTAGATTTTTGCTTATGAAAATTTTCATATATCCCCAGGTAGAGAAAGCAACACAGTAAGTCTTCATTGACTTAACTTTCATATAACTTATCTACCTAGAAAAATAGTCTAATGATCTTCTAGTCACTTAGACTTAACAATTACCAAAACCATAGCCAGTATTATTTCATCTCTATCTTATTATTTTGAAGTAAATCCTTTTGTCATTACAGATTTCAGTAGCTCTCTAGAATATAATGCTCTTTCCAAAACATATTACCAATAATAAACTTTAAGAAAGTGAGCCATTAATTCATGCTCTTCAATCTCAGAGTGCATGTTCCCTGATTGTCAGTTTGATTTTACAGTCTTCACAGACGTGAATTTTAATGTTGTTGAATTTATGAAAAAAATTTTTTCTGAATAGTTTTTTAGTGTTTTTGAGTATAAAGGACTACTTTTATAAGGCTCTAGCGTAGTTACTCAGACTAGATGCTCAGAACTTCTGCTGAGAATTCTCCCAGGCGCTTCTCTCCAGCCAGGCCAGTGTTTTTCCTGTATCCCATCTGTGCACTGTCCTTATTGTCAGTTTCCTTGTAATTTTGCTACTCTTTCCTGCCCAACTAAATATTACCCATAGTTTCCAAAGTCTATATCATCCATGAAGTTTCTTCTACACTTGGCTCCGTTTTTTGGGCTTTCAGATTCATTTCTCTGACTAGTTTCTGTATATTGTATTTTTCACATGGCTAGCATTTCCTTAAAGGAGTAGACCAGATTTGCTATTTATTTTGGCCAGTTGTAGCTTCTGTGGTGATGCTGTTTAGAAAGGATTTAATGACTTCGATAAAATAAAACCACACAATATTCAAGCAATATTGTTTTGTTTTGGCCTGAATATGAATTAAGTGCTTTGAAAATTTGGACTATTTGGCCAAGGATTGGTCAAATTGCGGTGAATATGTGATGTCCACGTCTCAGGATTGAGTGGTTGCTCTCTAGTTTAGAGTTTTATGTATTTCAAACAAGGACTTAGGTTTTATTTAGCTTCAACCCAAAGTAACAGTAGAAGTTTATTTCCCTCTCACATCAAACTTCCTGATATTCTTGAAGACACAGGGCTTCTCTTATTACACTCTCGTTCTTAGTACATACTTCTGTTTTCAAGGTCACCTCATAATCAGTGAAGACTGGGGCTTCAGTAATCTTATCCATGTTCTGGACATTAAGAATGATCAGACCTAGAGAAGAGTACCTCCTCTTCCTTTTAAGGAGATGTCACAGAAGTCCTCCAAAGCTCCCACCTAGCTCAGGGACCATATTTGGTCACATGGCCATAGTTAACTATAAAGAAGACAGGAAAATATAATAATCTACCCGAGCACAATGTGCTTATCCAAAAATTGGGTTTCTGTGCCTAAAGAAGAGGAAGTGAATATTTGGTAGGCAACTAGCCATTTGTGTCACAACATAAAATCCTCTGTTCAATCAAAATCTTATGTTCATGAGATAAAGAAGGACCGGCTGTGTCTGAAGGGGGTGTAAGTTTTCTTGGTAAATTTTCCTTCCTAATAACTTAGATTAATTGCTGAGTTTAGTCCGAGTTTACTTAATGGAACCAGGGTATAAGTCAAACTGTTTACACTAAGCACAGAAGACATTAAGACAAGTCTTACCTCCAAACAATTAGGAACAGATCAGTAAACTAACACATTGCTGCAAATGACGGCAAAATGCATTTCTAAGCCTGTCAATTTAATTTAAAAGTATGCAGCAACCTTTAAAGAAGGAAGTCTAACACATCTTCTTTTCTTTTCTGGCTTTTCGGAAAGACTCCCTTTTGTATTCTGACTGTTAGGTGATAGGAGGAGTTCTGATGGCCTCATGGGTAAGGAGCTACACTGCCAACCCAGAAGTGGGCAGTTCAAATCCACCAGCTGTTCCACAGCACAAATATGGCAGTCTCTAGCATGTGATTTACAGTCTCTAATAGCCCACTAGAGGCTCAGCTCTGATTCTGATCTGACTTGATGGCAATGATTTTGAGTTTGAGTAGGCAAGAAGAAAAATATTGGTGAATAGTTGAAGATTACTATCTTCATCCCTCTGTGAGAATGCCCTGCATGTAGAAATTACTTTTATTATTAGGACTATAGGGGGCGCTGGTGGCCTAGTGGGTAAGAAGTTCCACCACAGCTCTGTGGGAGAAAGATGGACAGTCATTGGAAGGTCAGCTATTGGTTTTGACTTAACAACAATGCGTTTGTTTTAGAACTACAACCAGCATTACAGTAGGAAGAAGTTTTAAGGGCACTTCACAGAGATTCTGCCTGAAAGAGCTAGGAATCACTGGTTCTCATTGTGGGCCCAAGGATTTGAGCAGATTTTATTTTGGGTATTTGAGACTTGAATCTAGAGATGACTTTTGCTGACAGTCAAGTGTAGTAATGAACAAAGCTTGAGAGATCTAAGTAAGTGTGTAGGTGGTAGTGTGTGCAAGGAAAGAGAAAAACCTTTGTGCTCCTCTCCAAAGAAACCAAAAATCATTATTACATATAGACTTACCTTGACTTGGATTTTCAGCTCATTCTCATAGTTCTGCTAACCCCGCTATCACTGGATCTGGAAGTGACCATTTGATAGACCCTGTCAAGTATATTGGTTATTTTCTGTTTCTTCACCTGTTGTTTAAATGTATGTGTACTACAGTTCTCAGATTGGAGTGATGAAAGGATGAACATCATTTGAATCACTCTAATCCTCTTTCACCAGAATGGAAAGATGCAGATCTTTTCTGATGCCTGTGCTTGAATTATTATTAGGTATGACTTCCCAGAAGGGAAGAACATGGCTCTCCCCCATACCACTCTTGCCCGTTATGTCTGCAGGGAGTGGTTTGAATCCACCAGCCCTTCTGTGAGAGAAGGCTGAGCATTCTCTCCTGCTATAAAGATTTACAGCCTTGTAAACATGATGGAGTTAGTTGGAATCAACTTAATGCCTGTAGATTGGGTTGCATTTAGTTGTCTGTATGAAAAAGTAATGATCCCAGTTTTTTAAATTGTTCTCAACATAGGTAACTGCCAAATGCTAACATTATTCACACGGGTCTTTCTTGTATCCTAGTCTACTTTTGTAAAGAATCACTCTTGTGTTGTCTGTTCTTACCTTGAATCTTTTCTCTCCCAAGAGTTGAGATGTTCACTTCATAAGAATATGCTTGAAATTTTACCCCTGTTATAAAGAGATATAATGAAATGTAAATTTTATTGATAGTTACTTTTGTTTTGATTTATATTTATATGGAAGAGTGATGAAATTTTATAAATTCTTAATCTGTTAACTGGTGGTGTGGGTTTTTCCCAGGGCCATATGTGTTGGCCGCCTCCAACTTCAGTGTGTTCCAGGTGGGAGCCCCAGATACCAGATCTTGGAGGCTCTAGAATGCCACCGTAGGATCCTGTGACACAGTGCCAACTCTTAGAGACCTTCCACTACTGTTTTTCTTTATGAGGTAGACTAGGAAAAATCTAGATTGTGCTTTTCTGCCTAAATATCTCTAGTCTTGTGTATGATAATGTTGTTGTCAATATGTGCCATTGAATTGGTTCTGACTTAGACCAGAAACGCTGCCTGGGCCTGGGCATCCTCACAGTCATTGCTTTGTTTGAACCTGTTGTGGCAGCCACTGAGCCAGCCCATTTCATTTTCTACTGACCTTTCATTTTCCCAAGCATGATGTTCTTCTCCAGCAACTGTTCCCTTCAGGTAACATGTCCAGAGTGTGAGAGACAAAATATCTTTTTTTTTTTTTTTTTAAATCTCATTTCTTAAGGAGAATCCTGGCTGTACTTCTTCCAAAACAGACTTGTTTATTTTTTTGGCAGTCCATGGTATAGTCACTGCTCTTTGCCAACACCACAATTTAGAAGGCATCAGTGTGAATACGTGAACATAATTATTCTAGCCATTTTTTTGCCTGCTGGCCTTGGCTGCCAACTTTCTTGTATCTACATTAGTAATACATGCTTTTTGTTAAAAATCACATAAATAGATTAAAAATGTATAAACAAAAATCAGGTGTTCTGTGTTATTTACAAATTCCCTTCTCCTCCTTCCCTACCCACTGTATCCCCTGCGAATTCCCAGCTGTAACCCACTGTGAGTATCCACTTTATTATGTTTCTAGCATAGAGATTTTTTTTTATAAAAACCGTGTCAGTTATGTTTTTTTTTGGTCATCCAGTGTTGTTTTCCTAGTCTGTAATTTCACCATTCATGTCCAAGATGCTGACTGTTTTTCTCTCTTACAGGTTTAATAGACTACAACTTCCACTGTTTCCGAAAAGCTATTCATGAGGTTTTTGAGGTGGGTGTAACCTCCCATAGGAGCTGCAGCCACCAGACAAGTGCCCCGAGCCTGAAAGCACTGGCCCACAACGGCACGCCAAGAAATGCCATCTAGCCTGAGACCCAGCGGCTTGGGCTCGGGGCCACATTGCGCTCTCCTCCAGGCTCAGATGTCACATGCTCCAGGACACGGGAGCTGTTGCATGTGGAAACCTGGTGACTATCCCACTAGAGACAAAGGGTAGAGTTTCTCATTTGGATGAAAACCCCTTCAAACAGTGGTGTACAACTGAAGCTACGATTTCTTTTTTTATTTAAAAAAAAAAGGTTCTAGAGACCACAGAACTCAAGTGTGTCTTTCCCCTCTTTTTTGGGGGGGTCCTCCTATAGTAGCTGGGCTCTTTGGACCTGGAGATGACATGGTTAAACCTGTCTTTGCCAGGGAATGTTGCCATCAATTACCAATTGAGAATAATAGAAAAAACAGAATTTTTATATGCTTCACTAAAGTTTTCATTTGAGTAGTCTCTAAAACCTCTGCCTTGCTTAAGTTCTAACACTGCCTCTCAGATTGCAATTTTGGACATTGCACACCCAAGACCTTTTAAACGCATTTGCTTGCTATCTCAGAAGACGCATAGTCTGACTGCAGCAAAAGACATTCCTGTATTTGTTACTGAAGAAATGAGAGAAAATTTTATGCCGCATCAGCTGGAGAGCAAGACTCAACAGTGGCTACGTTTGTTCCCTTGGAGAAAACTCTGAAGAAAATTTTTGCATCTGTGTTTTCTGGGTACCTCATGTCTGTCTGGGCTTAACCTCTTGCTTTAGATAAGTAAATGATCATGACCAGTGTAACAAAGGGAATTAAAAACCCCTCCCCACCCGCATTTACTTCTCCAAGGGGAGAAAACATGTATCACTGAAATATATAGAATATCCTTCTTTAATCTTAGTATCAGCCACTTTATCCCTTTTGTTCTAAGCAATGTAGATTTTTTAAGAATTGTTTTACTGACAGTGAATGACCCTAAGCCACTGGTGGACTGTCCACTGGGAGTTGGAGCGAGCACATGGGGCCACAGCATGTGTTGTTTTACATACTTTGTCTCCAGTATTCTGACACCAAGTGTCAACTGTGGTATTTTCTTTGCCTAGGATATTAATTCTTGTTTCTTTTTTTGTTGATGGTTGATACTCTTTGGTTTAAATTTACCATTATTTTTACCCCATATGCCCAATAGTCATATATTCCAAAGCCACTGGACCACTTGAGTACATAAGTGCCACTGTTTTATGAAATATGTCTAATTCAGGTCTGCAAACCTAACAGTGTGACTTGGAGTGCTTCCTGCAGGTGATTCTGACTGTTGAGTATTTACATGGACCATGGTGATATCCAAAAGAAAAATGCTTTTATATTTATAGATTATTTCATTGAACTATATAAAATGGGTATCAATAAATGTATTTACTCCAAAACCAGTTTTTCTGTTTTCCTAAGGTGGGGAAGGTTCTGGGGTTTTTTTGAGTTGCCGAACCCTATCATTTTATCATCTTTCCCTTTTGTGTATGTGCTACCTCATAGAGTTCCTTGATTCAGGATTTAAAATTCTTTCATAGCTTAGGAGGAGTTGTGCTGCCAACTCAAAGGTAGGCAATTTGAATCCACTAACCATTATGTGGGAGAAAAGTGGGCATTCTCTCTTCCCTTGTGATTTACAGCCTCTGAAAGTCCTCTGGACCGTCAGCTCTAAGTTAGTTCCAATTGAACAGTGAGTTTGAGGTTCGTTTTGTTTTTTTAGTGTGCAGGCATCACGCCCTCTACCCACTCATTTCTATTTAGGGTACGAAGTCTCAGTTGAGCTGAACACTATTTTTTGGTTGTGATATTTCATACCGACAACTATCATTCATGGTGAGGAATGTCAAAGGCCTCCCATAGCTGATGCACTGTACTAATGTCAAGACAAGTTAAATAGAATACCATATGAAAAGTGTATACCAGTGCCAGCTTGTTTTTGTTCCTTCCAGTTGCTGAGTCAGTATTGATCTTTAAATGTCAGTTAAATCAATGCTTACATTCAAATTAATTTTTTAGGAGTTTGGAGGTTATTTCCTCTATAGGAGATTGTTAGGTTGATGATTTGGGAAAGTATGCATGAGTATAAAACAGGAACAGGGTGCATAGATTGGGGAATTTTCCCCCTTTGGTTGGACTTGTATTATGAGTTTACCAACTACAAGCCAAGAGTACAGTCCTCCACAAGACTGTCCTCACCATTGGCATGTTTGGGGTTTGCATGGTCTGCTGACTAAATGGTTACGATTTGAGGGTCCCACAGACTTCTTTATAATTAACTCATAAGCATTCACAGGGCTCAGGAAGGCACTAAACAAGGGAGAGCCACAATAGCATCTAGGACAAAGTGTTTAAAATGTGCAGCTTCGGTGTCCTTGCCCCCTCGTTACCCTCTAAATGATGCTGTATCATGGTTTGTACAGAGTATTGCCAACGGAGAAAACATCAGTGTCCAGAGCCATTGGAGTTTAGTTACATAGGTTTTATTCTCTGGCTCTCTCCCTTGCCTTGAAGGTGAAACAACACGTGGCTCAAAGCCCTAACCTCCAAATGCATGGTAGAGTTCTGCCATGGCCAACCCCCATCCAGTGTCACCTTGCTAGCATAAATTTATCACATGTAACCTGAGGGAATGCCATGAATAGCACTCTGCAGTCATTGAAGTTTTGGTTTTTTTGTGGTGGTTTTTTTTTTTTAATTTTTATACTGGTTTATTTACAAAGTTCATATACATTGTTTTTCACACTGAATCTTTGCCATTTTCTTTACCCATCCCTCCCTCTACCCTCAAATTATGTGACCCTATGAGTACCCCCCTGCCCATCCTTACCCCTCTGCTCCTACTCTGCCCCACCTTGGATCCTCATACATGTTTTACTAGTTATCTTTCCATGTCTACAATAGTTGTCTTATACAATATTTGTCTTTATGTGACTGAGCTGGTTCACTTAGCATAATGCTCTCCAGTCCCTCTCAAGTTAGATAGTGATTTTCAAAATCATTGTTCTTGTGTGGTGCATTGTATTCCATTGTGTGAATGTGTCAAAATTTCTCAATCCATTCAGTTGTAGTTGGACATTTGGACTGTTTCCATGTTATTGCAATGGTGAATAATGCTGCTGTGAACATTAGTACGAATCTCCATTTATGCCTCAGTTCTAATTTTCTTGGGGTATATTCCAAGCAGTGGAATAGCTGGGTCATAT